AACCTTTAAGATGTTTTGAGAATGGTGGAGAAGGGGTATGATGGCCTCATGATGAGGCAGCAAAGAGATTGCCTCCTACGGACAATTAGCAGGAGCTGAGAAGTCACACTCAAGAGTTATTACAGTAAGCAATCAGAGCAATCACAAGAAGAGTGCCTCATTCCTGTCCCTAGCTGGTGAAAACTGGACATACTGGTTAAATGTATAAGAGTTACTTTAACATCCCTGCATTTGTTTAGAAGAAATAAGATACAATGAAAAAGTATACAATAATATGTTTTACAAAAGGAAAACGTACCCCTCTCACATAAGCATACAACCCAATTTTAAAAAACAAAGAAAACAGAAAAACCAACTGACTCAGCCAACTACAGTTTATTTGTAAACACTCTCAGGTCACCTTAGTGTTTGTATCAGCTGCTTCAGTAGCCACAGAAGATTCCTTTCTCATTGACAGGAGACAGCAGCTGCGATTTTGAGACAGCAAGGTATCTGGAAGGTTGAGTGAAATGAGCAATTGGCAACATAATGTATTCAATGCATTTTGTTCTGTGAGTACTGAACGCCACAGGGCTATTGTGCTGTATGTGAATTAAACAAAGCAATGTAGAGGGTCAGTTTCCCACATTAGCACGGTAATATCTGTGGGAAAAAAAATCTATGCAACTTTGAAGATATTGTTAACATTGTCATTTGCATTAATTCACTTTGAGATGGGCTCCAGATTAGCTTCATTTTCCTTTATACTTGCTAGAAAATAATATGGAAGCTACACAGAGTTACTATATAAAATTAGTGGTGATGATCACAGTGCCACCATGACTTTAAAGAGTTGTGCTTTTTGTAATTTCCAAGAATATGAAGGCAGTGTGTGATCCAAAATGAATTTTATGTGTATTTTACTGAGACTATAAACTGCTTTTCCTGTATTAGTTTAAAAATTATCATACAGCAGAATTGACTTTCTTTTTTGGTATACAGCTTAACCCATGTGTAGATTTGCATAACACCTCCACAATCTATACCAAACAGTTCCATCAGTCTGCAACACTCCCTTGTGCTATCAGTTTAGAATCATGCCCTCCCCATCCCCAGTCTCTAGTAGTCACTCATCTATTGTCTATCATTATAGTTTTGTCTTATGAGAATGTTATTTATATAAATAGAATTATACAGTGTGTAACATTTTGAGACTGGCTTCTTACACTTAGTGTAATGCCTTTGAGATTTATCCAAATTGTTACATGTATAGTGGTTCGCTTTTTAAAAAACTGCTGCATATTGTATAGGCATACCATAGTTTATTTACCCATTGAAGGATCACTTACCTATGATCAGTTTACCCATTGAAGGTTTTAGCGATGGTAGGTGGAACTACTTTTCATTTTTGTGTGCGTATAAGTTTTCATTTCTCTTGGATAAACACCCAGGAGTGGAATTGCTGGGTCATATGGTAATTGTATGCTTAATTTTATAAGAAACTGCTAACCTGTTTTCCAGAGTGATTGTACCGTTCTGAATTCCCGTAAGCAGCACAGGAGAGTTCCGGTTGTTCTAGAATTCCTTAGCAGTTGGTGCTGTCAGTAATTTTTTTATTCTAGGCATTCAAATGGGTGTAAACTGGTATCTTATTGTGGTTTTAATTTACATTTCCATCTTGGCTTATGTAGTTGAAGATTTTGTATGTGCTTATTTGCCATCATTATATCTTCTTTGGTAGGTCAGCACTTGTGGGAAAGGTGTTTTTTTCCCCTTAGGGGTCCATCTGCTTCGGTGGGAATGGAGCCAATTTACCTTGCCCAGTTATGTAGGCAGTAAGATGTGAAAATCTAAGTTAACTGGCACCAATGATACCCTAGTGCCCTTTATATATTGTTTTCCCTGGATAGTTTCCTGGCAATCTTGACCCGTGACCTGGTTCTGACTACATTCCTACATCTATTACGAAGGAGCCAAATCATGTATAAGAGGAAAAGATGGCATGTGCTTTGACATGATGCTTTCGTGGTGCGAAGACTCTATGTAACATTTTGTATTGCAGGATGGTGTGGAGTAGATGAGAAATGTGTATATGGCTATTCTGAGCTGCTAGCATAAAGGTTACCCAAGCCTTTTTCTCTCCTAGGTATGTAAGATATTCTGCATCTTTAGCATCAAAGTGAGATGCCAGAGACAGAGGCTAACAAATCTGACTTATGAATCAAGAGTATGAGGAAGTGGAGACTACTGCCAAGATAGTAGCTGAACAGTGATCACCATAGATACTGCCCATAGCACAGGCATACCCCATAGATGCTAGGAGGAGGGTCGTATTTGAGGAAAGGGTCACTGGAGGAGCTGGTGGCCTGGATGAGGTCGAAGAGCACCTGTAGTGGGAGACAGGAGTGAAAAAGTTAAACAAATAGAGGTTGGTGGCATAGAGGACTTTCTGATATTGTTACATAGGTGATGTGATGGTGAAGTCCACAGTAGAGCTAGGGTAGAGGCTTGTCCCAGTGGAATGGGTATGAAGGTCCTGGGAGCTGTGGAGTAAAGGAAATTTGAGACTACAGTGTTGGTTGGTTGGTTCATCAGTGTGAATATTGGCATTACCAAAGATAACGCCATGCTTGATATAGAGACAGTAAAATGTGAACCAGTTGCATTCTTCAATGTAGTGTAGAGGAGTAAAAGGGAAGAATGTAGGTAACAGCAACGAGGGAGGAAGACAGTAAGGTTTGTCAGACCAGGCACCTACTGGGGAAAAAAGGGTGTTAGAATGTGGGTGAAAGAGTAATGATCAGAAAGTACCAAAGTAGCAAAGAGGCATTGAGGCCAGCCTTCCCCCATCATCCGTACTATCGTCTCTCAGGTGAGGACTGGGAGAATGAGCAGCCTTCCCTGGGAGGGCAACAGGGGAAGTGGGACTCTTGTGCAGAATCAGGTGTGGGTGAGACCAGGAAGTAGATGGATTCTGTGAAGAAGTTAAGGAGTGTTTTTTACAACAGAATGGGGCAAAGTATAGAGAATTTGGAAGAACTCAGCAGTGGGAGGGAGGGAGTTTCTCAAAGTGGCACAGAACAGCACAGAAATGAACATGCTAAGAGGACAAAAGATACAGGCATTTGTTTTGGGGTAGTGGTCAAGAGGTGTGGGAGAATACATGAAATAGACGCTCCAACCAGAAATCCCAGGCAATGTGGAATATCTGATGATAGCAATGAGAGCCCTGCTCTTCTGTGATGAGGCCAGCAGAGACAAGCCAATCTGGCTGTGATTGGTTCCCATGTACTGGCTAATGGGGTAATAGATTTTTTGCCCTAAATTTCTTTTGGACTGCATTACCTTGTGGGTGCCATTTGGGAGAACCTTACCCAATTAGTGCTTCAAAGTTCATCTAGTTTAAACTTTTATTCTGTTTCAAGTTATGATCACCAGTTTGTACCACTGTCACCAATTAGTTCTTGGGTTTCAAGAACTAATATTGGAGCACTCATTGGAATTGTACAACAATTAATATTCATAATTTAGCACAGCTTGTCATTCTTCAATAGATTTTTTCCCTTGTACATTTTTAAATACAGATTATATATTTTCATTTTTTTTTTTTTAAAAAGTAACTGAATTACATGAAATCAGAAGGTTGTGTTTCCAGCATAGAATGACTGTTTTGACACTGATGGTGGGGCTCAGAACTCTAATGCTATCTTCAAATTTTGGCCCTAACAAAAATCATAAATAAAAGCTCAATTTTAAAAAATCACTAATGTACAACTAAAAATGAGTAACTGAGCCCTTTTAGCTGACACCATCATTTTGATGCTTAATGGTCTCTTACATTGCCCAAGTAAATACTACCATTCATGCCACTCATTTCACGCTGCTGGCCTCTGACAGCACAGTGGAAATTTGGGAACTTGTAAGAACAAGTGACATGTCAGATACCAAACCTTCCTACCTAATAGTGTGTGTCAAGGAGATTGAGACTGAGTTAGTAATGTTTTTGTTTAAAATGTCTGCATGAAACAAGACAAAATTGTATTGTGTCTTTTTTCATCTTTGGAATTTTTCTGGCTTTATTTCATAAGAGTGATTCTGCTTGTAAAGTGTGGGTTGAAAATTTCGATATCCACTGTACATTTAGGCTGCGTGCAGTGGCTTACGCCTGTAATCCCGGCACTTTGGGAGGCTGAGGTGGGTGGATCACCTGAGGTCAAGAGTTCAAGACCAGCCTGGCCAATGTGGTGAAACCCCGTCTGTACTTACTAAAAATACAAAAATTAGCTGGACATGGTGGCAGCCACCTGTAAACTTAACTACTCAGGAGACTGAGGCAGAAGAATCACTTGAACCCGGGAGGTGGAGGTTGCAGTGAGCTGAGATCGCGCCATTGCACTCCAGCCTGTGTGACAAGAGTGAAACTCCGTCTAAAAACAAAAACAAAAACAAAACAAAAACAGAAAAAAACCACTGAATTTAAATATTAAGTTGTATACTTGTGGGATAGTGACAATTGCCCCTTACATCAAATACCCCATAGTTCATTGAGAATGTCTGAGAGTGCCTTTGAAGCACACATTCTAGGTTATCTTTCTTCAAAGGTGTCTAGATGATGCTTCTAACCTGAAATATTGTGTGCCCAGTGTAGCTTAGTACTAGCAAATAAAACAGCCATTGGTTCCCTTCCAGAATACCCAACAAACAATAAAAAAGAGAACAGACAGTGAATTGGAGAGATGCACCTCTCACCTTGGCCGAACTTTGAATTTGGGCATCTGATGGAATAGTAGGATTTGTGTGGTTTAGAAAAAGATTAATTTACCTAAATGGTCAAAGGCCCAGTGCACAGGAATATGGCTTCCAACTGTGTATCTGAACTGAAACAAAGGCCCCAGATATCCAGGGTGCTACGGTTGGCCCTGGTAATTGGTGTTAGGTAAGAGTGAACTTTTCTACCACCCTCACCTCCCTCCAGGATAAGGCAAAGTAGTCCTCACATATTTTGCTTTTCTTTACTGCAGGACATTTGTGAAGATATTTCTGATCATGTTGAGCAAATCCATGCCCTCCTTGAAACAGAGTTCTCCTTAAAGCTGCTGTCTTACTCTGTCAACGTGATAGTGGACATCCACGCAGTGCAGCTCCTCTGGCACCAGCTTCGAGTCTCAGTGCTGGTTCTGCGGGAGCGCATTCTGCAAGGTCTGCAGGACGCCAATGGCAACTACACTAGGCAGACGGACATTCTGCAAGCTTTCTCTGAAGAGACAAAGGAGGTGAGTGTTTTCCTTGAAGTTAAGCAATGCATTGCCAGGTGTGACCATTTGAGAATGTTTTCAGTTTAGAGATATAGGATAGGAATTCTTTGTAGGTAAATAAGCAGGCCCTGATGGGCTTTGAATCTAGGCATAGTGACTAGAAGCTAGGGCACTTCCAATATGAATGGGGCTTTAGACCAGAGTTAGCTCATACCTGGTAATTTGCACACATGCCATTCGTTGTTATTGATGCTAACCTGGCTTCCTTTTCCTCTTCAATTGTTTAATAAATATATATTGAGTACTTATTATGTGTCAGACACTCAGTGCTAAGAATATAATAATGATAAAAACATGGTTTCTGTCTTCAAGTAGCTTTGAGTCTAGAGGAAAATGGAGCCAAGTGAATAGACATTAAAGCCAAACTGATAAGTCTATAAGATGCCATTGGAGGACAGAGAAAGAAGCACCTAATCCAGACAGAGGAGGCTTTCCAGAAGAAATGACTCTACCGGAGACCTAAAGGAGAGACAGGAATAGACTGGTGAACAGAGGCAGAACATGTTCTAGGCAGGGGACATGGCATGATCAAATACCCAGAGATAAAAAGAGAATGGCAGGCCCAGAGAGCTACTAGTAGGACTGGAGCAAAAAGCCCAAGGAACCAGGAGGTGGGATTTGGGCTAATAGGTAAGCTGAGGTCAGATCATGAAGGTAAAGAGCTTTTTAAATCCATATTAAGAGATTTGGACTTTATTTTGAGGACAAAAGAAATGTTTGCTTGGCGAACTCCCATGATTCATGTTTTAGAAGAATCATTCCAGATACAGTGAATCAAATGGACATTTAGAATATTATACAAAATATGTTTGATTTTTCTTATATTCAGTACCTGGAAGATTTTATTGTTATTCTTGATGAATAACTTAAGAATGAACCCTGTACATTTGAATCCAAGTGAACTCTCTCATTCTTAAATAAAATGGACATATATTTATAGAAAAAAGGTGTTTTTGCTTGCTAAGCAGGGGCTGTACATATACATATACATATAGATACCATATATGGATGCATTGTATGTGGGGAGTGGTGGGTATGTGTTTGTGTGCGGGCATGTGTGTTTAGTCTTTTGGCTATTAATACCCACTTTAGTGTTCTACTATTAGTTTGTGTAAAACATATATTCTAAAAGTTTATAAGGCACTTATATTAATATATGAGATTAAAAGGCCTTATAATGAGTGTTGGATAATTCATTAATTTATTGACTTATTAATGTTACAGTGCCTCCAACATTATCAACACCACCAAACAAATCTGTACCTATTCTCACAAACCATTTATGCTTGTTGATTTTGTCTATTCAAAATAAAGGTTCTTGCTGTGGTAAACTCCCCACAGGGCCTAGAAGTCCATAGGAATCAAAATCGACTAGGCTTACCTCTAACTTTAAGTCACAGTCTTTGTTTTCAGTTAGCTCTTCCTTTTACTGTGGCACTGGGGAAGTGATGTAGACTTCAGTAGAGTAACCATAGGATGAATATGTGAGTTGTGTGTTAGTTCCCAGATGCCGTCCCTCCCAAGTAGATCCCAAGAGGGTTCTCAACTGGGACTCTTGTGGTTATGGGAGACTACAAAGAATCTCAACTGACCAACTTTGCCCTAAATCTGATATCCATGACAGAATGTGCTAATGGAGATCAGAGATGAGGAAGGTTTGTCTAACCTCTAGAGAGATCTTTCTTTAGATACCTACCTGGCATCTTCAAGTCTATACATTCTTTTCTTCCCCCCTCCCCATTTGTTGTCCAACACCCAATGCTCTGTCCAGCATCCAATGCTGGTCAGTAATCAGATTGCCTGCTTTCTACTACTAGAAGGAGATTAAAAATCATTGATTCAAATCATATATTTATTAAATCAATAAACATTTATTGATAATCAACTCTGTTGTAGGAGCTGGAGATATAGCAGTGCTCTAGGGTTTATTGTTACTGTTATTATTGTTCTGTGGAATACATCCATCATACACTTCATTGAACTTGTATCATTCATGAAGTAGTAGCTCAAGAAATGATGAAGAGCCATGGAGGGTAATTGTTGCTGGCCACTGTTTTTACAACTGTGTTGTGAATTTACAATAAGTTGCATCTATTCTCACAACACTAACTCAGCAATTATGAATGGATTTGATTGGAAGCAGTTTAGTGCATTCTTATGTTTGAAGTCAGTCTTTAGTCCTGTTGTAGAGATTGAAGAAAATGTTGTATGGGGGTAAAGGAACAGTAGATTTTCAGTTATCCACTTTGTGGATATGTTTCTATGAATTAAAGTTCTGCCTCTGTAACCATACTTCCTGAAACTGGATTTCTGATCTTTTATTTCTGTGTGTCTAGTGTGATTCTATGAGGACATTTAAAATACCGGTTAGTTTTATTTATCTCTGCCAGCACACTGGAATTGTAAAACAGGAAGATAATTAGGATAAAATTATCAACTTTCTTAGAATAAATTCAACTATGAAAGATTTATAGAATGATGAGGGAAATGGCAAAAAAACAAAAACAAGAAAAAAAAACAAATTAAAAATGCACTGGTAAGTTAGAATAGTAGATGTCCTTCCAGTGAAGGAGGATTCATTTTTCTCTTTCTGAAAGTTAGTTAAATTTCAGAGCCACATAAAAGAGTAAGTTTGGAACTCTGGAGAGTGGCAAGTTCCATCTTCTTCTCTTCTTGAAAAAACAATATATGAATTTTATTCTTTATTTAAGTATGGAGCAGACTATATCTAGTAAAAAAAAAAAAATGGCCAATACCTTACTAAAATAGAACCAGTCAATAACCCAACAACAAAGAACACTTTAAGGCAAAGCTCAAAACTGTTTAAAAAATGTTTTCTGCAATTTTCTATATTCTAGACATTGTGACAAGCACTTTAAATTTGTTTCATTAAGGAAGGAAGGTAAGGGATATTAAAAGTAGTTACATTTTAACCTGGCACAGTGGCTCATGCCTGTAATCCCAGCACTTTGGGAGGCCAAGACGGGAGGGTCACTTGAGCTCAGGAGTTTGAGAGCAGTCTGGCCAACATGGTGAAACCCTGTCTCTACTAAAAATACAAAAATTAGCCAGGCATGGTGGCGCACGCCTGTAGTCCCACCTACTCGGGAAGCTGAGGTGGGAAAATTGCTTCAACCCGAGAGGCAGAGGTTGCAGTGAGCCGAGATCACGCCATCGCACTTCAATCTGGGCAACAGAGCAAGACTCCGTCTCAAAAAAAAAAAAAAGTAGTTACATTTTATAAATGGAAAAACTGAATTTAAGAAGAGGTTGTGAATACTTCTATGTAACAAACCTGCACATCCTGCACATGTACCCCAGAACTAAAAATTAAAATTAAAATTAAATTTTTTAAAAAGAGGTTAAGTGAATACTTAAGGATATAAATCTGGGCATAATTAAATAAAACAAAACCAGTTTTTAACTGATTTCTATTTTAATAATAATTATTATTTCTTCCCTGCCTTTCTTCCTTAACTATTTATTGATTTCTTACTATGTATAAGACTCTGTGCATTCAAAGATGAATAACACATGTTAGAAATGACCTTCATAATTTTTTTGGTCATCACATAGTTCTAAGAGGTAGGCAGAGCAAGTTCTGTTATCCTCAATTTACAGGTATTATGATTGTATTCATCTTATAGATGAGAGGATTGAGGTCGAGAGAGGTGATGTCACACAGGTGATAGGAGTAGTAACTCTTAATAATATCAACACAATAGGAAACATTGATTGAGAACTTACCATGTGCTAGATGGTGTGGTAAGCACTTACCTAAATGATACTTACCTTCTCCATGGGGATGCATTGGTCCTTCTAGAGTGTTCACAACATAGCACTTTGTGGATTCCTCCACTGGCACTTATAATGAGCCAAATTGTATCAGGCCAAAGTATGTGCTATATTTTGAACTACATGAGGGTTAGTTCCAGATTATATTCATCAGTGTATCTCCCACAACACCTAGTTCATATTGCTGTAAAAAAGTCTGATTTGTTGAATTGAATTAAATAATGCACATAATCCCTGCTTTAGATGTGGAAGAGGGAGATATAATTTCAGTTTGATGAACTGGGAATTAATCATTGAGATTAATTATTTGATTCATACTTTCAGCATGTAGAAAATGGGAGCTCTCTTAAGAACTATTAATATAGTATAAATAAAAATATTGAAAGATTTTTGTATATTTTTTCCCCTTGCCTATGAGAAACAAACCTTTGTTGTACTTCACAGTTGCTTGTCATTACTTGCTCTTCTCAGTCCACTGCTGTTCTCTGGGATGCATTCGGAATCATAGAATCTTAACATGGTAGGGCTGAAAGGAATCTGAAAAAGTCTAGTCCATGTAGACTAACATGTAAATTGATGGGCCTCTTACTAGAATGCCACAGCCCCCACAGCTCTGAGGACTCAGGATCTCCACATCTCTAAGTTGTGAATGTTAAATTTCATGTTCAGTTGGTGGTGAAACATAGTTTTAAAAAAAGAAAGATCTAAGAAGGCATTTGGAACTAGGCTTCAGTTAACTTAATTATGGATAAGGAACAAAGCAAAATGTCTTGCTTCAAATTAGAAAAAGAAAGGAGAGGTGTACTTTGCTATATATATATATTTTTTTTTTCTTTTTTTTTTTTTTTGAGACCAAGTCTCGCTCTGTTGCCCAGGTTGGAGTGCAGTGGCACGATTTTTGGCTCACCGCAACTTCTGCCTCCTAGGTTCAAGCGATTCTCATGCCTCAGCCTCCCCAGTAGCTGGGATTACAGGCACATGCCACCATGCCCCACTAATTTTTGTATTTTTAGTAGAGACAAGGTTTTGCCATGTTGCCCAGGTTAGTCTTGAACTCCTAGGCTCAACCGAACCACCTGCCTCATCTTCTCAAAGTGCTGGAATTACAGGTGTAAGCCACTGTGCCCGGCCTACTTCATAACACGTTAAATGGAGGTGTATTTAAGTGGAGTGCATGGCTAGGCAGCTCTCACCCAGCTACATGTACTATACAATTACATGTGATATTTCTGAAATAAGGGCAGTAAAACCAACAGGCAACACCCCTAACTCCATATCTTCCTGAGACTTTATTATGTACATATGTTAGAAAACTATGTGGGAAGATGATGTGGAAGGCAGCAATGGAACTAAAAACATTAGTATTGCTAAGCAATATTTTCAGAGATAAAACTCATTCATCTACTCTGAGAAACTTCAGAGAACTTTCTTTTCTTACAATTGCCTCTGCACGGTGAAATACTATATACTGTTTTTGGTTTGTTTTTTTTGTTTTTGTTTTTGTTTTCAGGGAGGGATATTTTTTCACATTAAAAAATACAGTTTGAATAAAAAATAGTTACCCCCTGAGGGATAAAAGAATACAAATAGGGTGCAGTTTATATTGCTCGGGTGATGCACCAAAATCTCACACATCACCACTAAAGAACTTATTCATGTAACCAATCACCACCTGTTCCCCAATAACCTATGGAAATAAAAAAATTAAATAAAATAAAAAATAGTTATTACCCCCCGAGTGACAATCACTCAACTGTCTCACCAGTTAAGATGGCATTTATTCACTAGTTGAGATGGTTGGCCAGACTGATACGGTGGGACAGGATGGGAGAGAGCTTCCTCTGAAGCATTAAGTGTTTTTGAGTATGGTGTTTTCTTTTCTAAACCAGGACCTGGCTAGAGATTCCTGAAGATTTAAGAAAAGGCAGCCATACTTTAGTCTCTGAGATGTATCCATTAAGCAATATATTCATGTAATATATATATTGTAATTATATATATAATGTAATATATATGTCATATATATATTTTTTCAATATATTCATGTAACATTACTGATTGAGCATCTGTTATTCTTGAGCAAGACAGTATCCCTGGTCTTAAGGTGCTATGACCACCAGAATGGGGACTAAATGTATTTGCAGGACTGTCATATTCCCTGCTTGTCCAAAGGCAGGTGGCTGACACTTGAGTTTGGAGTGTAATTTTTACCTGGACCCTCAAATTTCTTTCTTTTTTTTTTTTAATCTATCATATAAACGCTTTTCTTTAATCTCATATAAGCACTGCAGTGCAATAACCATGATAAATGTAATAGAAAATCATGTTGCAAATTTCAACTATTAATTTAAATAGGTTTTATGGGATAGTTTTGGAATTTAACCATCGTTTTATAATACTATTTCTATAAAAGAATAAGTTCTGAGTAATGAACAATCAAAAGATTAAAGAAAATACAACCTGCTTTTGAATTGGGAATCTCACTATTATGCTTTTAAAAATTGCATAAAGTATAACTTTTGTTTGGCTGACTGATTCCTAGTTCAGTTATGAAGCACAAAAGTTATACAATTCCATTTAGGTAATTTTTGTTGAGATTGGCAGTTAATATTGATTTCTTATTTTGTGCAGTATAATTTAGTATTAGCAATAACTTTCATCTTGAAACTTTCCTCCTCAATATACTTCATTTTTAAAATAATAACATCATAAGAGTGAACATTCATTGAGCACTCATCCATGTACTAGACTTCTATCTTACATATATTACCTCCTTTAAGCCTCTCAACACCCCTATGGCGTGGCTTATCATTTCCTTTTTATAGATGAAGGAAATAAAGCTTAGCAACATCAAGCTACTGGCTCATGGTCACATAACTAATTAGTGCTAGAGCCAGAATTTGAAACTTGGGCTTTTAATTATTGGGGTTAACTAAAACTACATAATCAGAGAAAGAAATTATAAGAAGGCATAGAGAGACATTCTAAAATGTCATCATTCATTCATTCATTCAACAAATGTGCATACTCTGTGCAGATCACTATGCTAGGTGCTACGGGTACCCTGGTGAGACAACCATTTTCTGTGTGATTTATACTCTCGTGGTACTTACAAACTAGTGGAAAAAGCAGATTGATCAGATAATCACAATAGTATTTATAAATTGAGATAAATGCTTAAAGAGAAAGCAGGGCTTACAATAAAAGATTCTGACTTATATGTGAATCTGGAATCTTGAAAAAGTGAAACTTAAGCTGAAATCTGAGTGATAAGGAAGAGTCAACTAGTTAAGGGGTATAGGCTGGAAGCTTTCCAGGCAGAGCAAACAGCATGTGCCAAGGCCCTGAGGTAGAAGAGAACATGGTATTTTCAGAAAGTGAAAGGAGGACACTGTGGCTGAGTGTGGCCAGTGAGGGGAGAATAGCATAAGAAAGGCCTCTTTGGGTCTGACCTGGAAAGGGTTTTGGTTGTGTTTTAAAAATAGTTGTCTATGATATCGTTTATTTCTGTTTTCAGTCATATACTTGGGAGATCTTCAAATATTAAAGCAATATATCTTTGTGTCTTTTTTTATATCTATGTGTCATTTTTTGCTTTTATTATTTTTAATTGACACATAACAACTGTACATATTTATAGGGTACAGTATAATATTTCGATACATGTACACAATGCAATGATCAAATCAGGGAAATTAACATACACATCACTTGAAACATTTATTGTGTCTTCATGTTGGGAACATTCAGAATCTACTCTTCTAGCTATTTGGAAATGTAGAATAAATTGCTTTTAATTATAGTCATCTGACCCTGCTACAGAAACCAGAACTTATTCCTCCTATCTAGCCGTAATTGTGTATCCATTTACTAGCCTCTCGCTATCCCCACCCCCTACCTTTCCCAACCTCTAGTAACTGCTATTCTGCTTTCTGCTTCTCTGAGTTCAACTTTTTTAGCTTCCACATATGAGTGAGAACATGTGGTATTCGTCTTTCTGTGCCTTGCTTATTTCACTTAACATAATGTCCTTGAAGCTCATACATGTTGTCACAAATGACAGGATTTCCTTCTTTTTGAAGGCAAAATAGTATTCCATTGTGGATATATACTGCATTTTCTTTATCCGTTCACCTGTTGGTGGACACCAAGGTTGAGTCCATATCTTGGCTATCATGAATAATGCTGTAATAAACATTGGAGTTCAGGTATCTCTTTGACGTGCTGATTTCCTTTTCTTTGGATATATACTCAGTAGTGGGATTGGTAGTTCAATTTTTAGGTTTTTTGAGGAAAGGTTTGGATTTTGAACTTAACAGCAACAGGATGCTTCTAAAGGACTTTAAATAAAGAACTAACAGATTTGCAATTTGTAAAGGTTACTCTGGTGGCAGTGTGGAAAACAAATTGGAGGTGGGGGCATGCCAGTTTAAAGTAATATCTAATGGCCAGAATATAGACTTTGGGGACAGCTTTCATCCAGGGCCGGTGTCATCTTTTGGTCCAAGCTACTCTTATGTAAGACAGCGACAATAGTACAGTCCCCAGAAGAAAAATTTAAGGATTAAATGAAAAAGTAATTGTAGTAATCAACCATCATCATTTATAGATGAGGATTCTGAGGCTTAGAAAAGTTAAATAAGGCTTTTCATCTGTTTATCTAGATGTTATGGAATGAGAGTGAGCAGAGTAGGAGATAAAGGCAGGGTGAAGGTCTGAAGGGAGAGAACATTCCAAAAACAAAACAAACAAATGAGCAGTAAAACCAGATGTAAGATCCTGGAGAAGCCAGATCTTGGGAAAACCTGGCTGAAAGGATCACAGGGTCCAACTGCCACATGGGATCCAGCTTCAGTTGGCTCACTGCAGTTCTTCCTCCAGAAAAAATGGAGATCTGGGGATGCAACAGCCCTTCACTTTTCAGTTTTCTTTTTTCATTTCCTGAGGGGGCTAGGTTAGATCAGGCTGTTATTTAGCCAGCAGGCATAATAGGATGGTTCCTGGGACTCTTCTACCCTAAACAAAGCATCAGTGAAAATCTTTCCATTTGTTGTATGAAATCGGAAACTGCAATAGTAATGAGACAAAAGCCTTAATTACAGAATTAAAGATTTAACAAATTAAAAATAGTTAATTGTAATGCTGTTTTTTTTTTTTAGTGCGAGGGAGTTTTAAATCAAATCAGCCTATCCAGAATTATGAATAGTAAGAAATATGTGCACCTAATAGCTCACATACACCAGTGGGGGTAGGACTTGGGGAGAAAAACATGCAGAGGGAGGAGATGAGGCTATCTCTAATGATAAAGTTTGGACATTCATTAATTTTCTCCTTCAAAAGGATGGGGCCAAACAGAAACTGGTCTCGAACTGTTACATATTTGCAAATTCAGTAGTTTACCTTCCTTCGATTCATCAACATATATTTAACACACTGGCTTATTATAATTAATCATTCTACTTAAAAATATTCATTGAGCATCTACCATGAGTTAGCCACTGTGGTAGTTACTGGAATGATAGCAAAAAGCAAAACACATTCGTGGAGATTTTACTTTTACATTATTTTGATCCCAGAAATTGTATTACTTAAGGCTTTGTTTATGAAATTCTTATTAAATGAATAATATATTATTTTAAAGTTGAAAATTAAGGCAAGAATGGATACTTTTGGCTTGATCTTGACATTTCTATTAAGGCTGTATGCTCCAGATTAGTGAAAAATCTTCAGGTGTTTAAGAAGAAGATACTATATAAAGCAATGTGGTAATTGATTAATATCCCTTTGTGTATGTCAAATCAGAAGCAATAGAGACCAATACATTTGACCTTTATAGTGCCCTGTACTGAAATTTCATTTAAATAGCAGCTGATGTTATAACTCATGTTGCATTTACTGAAACCATTGCCATTGTCTGTTTCAGGGCCGACTTGATTCTCTTACAGAAGTGGATGACTCAGGACAATTAACTATCAAATGTTCTCAAAATTACTTGTCTCTGGATTGTGGCATTACTGCATTCGAACTGTCTGACTACAGTCCAAGTGAGGATTTGCTCAGTGGGCTAGGTGACATGACCTCTAGCCAAGTCAAAACCAAACCCTTTGACTCTTGGAGCTACAGTGAGATGGAAAAGGAGTTTCCTGAGCTTATCCGAAGTGTTGGGTTACTTACAGTAGCTGCTGACTCTATCTCTACCAATGGCAGTGAAGCACTTACTGAGGAGGTATCTCAAGTATCTCTCTCAGTAGACGACAAAGGTGGATGTGAGGAAGACAATGCTTCTGCAGTCGAAGAGCAACCAGGCTTAACACCGGGAGTGTCATCGTCTTCAGGAGAAGCTCTGACAAATGCTGTTCAACCATCCTCTGAGACTGTGAAGCAAGAATCCAGTTCCTCCTCCCATCTTGGTGCAAAGAATCAGCAGCCTGTTCCTTGTGAAAATGCAACCCCCAAGCGAACCATCAGAGATTGCTTTAATTATAATGAGGACTCTCCCACGCAGCCCACAGTGCCAAAAAGAGGACTTTTTCTTAAAGAGGAAACTTTTAAGAATGATCTGAAAGGCAATGATGGAAAGAAGCAAATGGTTGATCTAAAGCCTGAGATGAGCAGAAGCACCCCTTCGCTAGTAGATCCTCCTGACAGATCCAAACTTTGCCTGGTGTTGCAGTCTTCCTACCCTAACAGCCCTTCTGCTGCCAGCCAGTCTTATGAGTGTTTGCACAAGGTGGGGGATGGGAATCTTGAAAACACAGTCAAATTTCACATTAAAGAAATTTCTTCCAGCCTGGGAAGGCTTAACGACTGCTATAAAGAGAAATCTCGACTTAAAAAGCCACACAAGACCTCAGAAGAGGTGCCTCCATGCCGAACACCTAAACGGGGGACTGGTTCAGGCAAACAAGCTAAAAATACAGGGAGCTCAGCAGTGCCAAATGGAGAGCTTTCTTGTACTTCCAAGGCCATAGAGGGGCCACAAACAAATTCTGCTTCCACATCCTCCCTTGAGCCTTGCAATCAGAGAAATTGGAATGCCAAATTGCTATTGCAGTCAGAAACATCCAGTTCACCACCTTTTACTCAGAGCAGTGAATCCTCTGTTGGCTCAGACAACATCTTGTCTCCGGTGCCACTTCTTTCAAAACACAAAAGCAAAAAAGGTCATGCCTCCTCTCCAAGTCACGTCACCAGGAATGGTCAGGTTGTGGAGGCCTGGTATGGCTCTGATGAATACCTAGCACTGCCCTCTCACCTTAAGCAGACAGAAGTATTGGCTTTGAAGTTGGAAAACCTAACAAAGCTTCTGCCTCAGAAACCCAGAGGAGAAACCATCCAGAATATTGATGACTGGGAACTGTCTGAAATGAATTCAGATTCTGAGATCTATCCAACCTATCATGTCAAAAAGAAGCATACAAGGCTAGGCAGGGTGTCTCCAAGCTCATCTAGTGACATAGCCTCTTCACTAGGGGAGAGCATTGAATCTGGGCCCCTGAGTGACATTCTTTCTGATGAGGAGTCCAGTGTGCCTCTCTCTGGCATGAAAAAGTATGCTGATGAGAAGTCAGAAAGAGCTTCATCTTCTGAGAAAAATGAGAGCCATTCTGCCACTAAATCAGCTTTAATTCAGAAACTGATGCAAGATATTCGGCACCAAGACAACTATGAAGCCATATGGGAAAAAATAGAGGTAAAGTGATTTTCTTAATATGAATGATTTCTCACTTGAGTTTTGGAAGTAATGCTGGGAGAAGGTCACACTCTCTACACTCTATTATAAAATGTATGGCTATTTTTGATAAATCTGATTCCCCAAAGAAAGAAAAGAAAAAGCACAATGATCACTGCATGTGACAAAGAGTATGAATCACTAGGAACTGCCCTTGTCAATGCATTAGCTTGATGTGCTCCTGCATGATATAGAATTCTCTGTTGATATTGTTCAAGTCTATCATGACTACTGATGAATGCTGGAATCCCTTGGATCTAATACAAAATTAAATAGAACAATAACTATGCACACACAAGTAGCTCAGGAATATATGCATAGACTATTCCAGTTACCCCAGAGTGATTTTATTCATTTCTTCTGACTCTAGAATACGTTCCACATCTCCAATGTTAACTTCTTGTAAAAATAGACCAGATATTTCTAATTTATTATGGATCATTTTTTTCTTTACTCTTCCTCCTCTTTGAGAACCCTGGCTAATAACCATATTACTTATACCGTGTACCACCCATGGACTCTGGGATGTGAAGTTGACATTTTGGCTAAATCTGTACTTTTGAACAAATTACTAGATATGACAAAATGTTTGAGGACAGACTTATCAAAATTCTCAGGACTGACAGCTTGGGCAATGTAGGGAGACCCCATTTCTATATTAGCCAGGAGTGGTAGCACACACCTGTAGTCCTAGCTACTCAGGAGGCTGAGGCAGGAGGATTGCTTGAGGCGAGGAGGTTGAGACTGCAGTGAGTTGTGGTCATGCCACTGCACTCCAACCTGGGCAACAGAGTGAGACCCTATCACAAAAAAAAAAAAAAAATCTCAGGACTGAGCACCATAGTGTAAGTAATAATTTGACCTTTTAAGAGGCATCTGGGCAAAGAGATTCACTGTGATTACTGTGGTAATGGCCCTTTCCTCAGGAGGCCATTGGAAGTAGATCCAGTTGACTTGATAATTATTAATGGTTTCTTGTTTGATGACATATAAATGGCCACCCTGGCTACATATAATTTGTATATGACTTTATGGTATGCAAAGCTCTCCCACATGCCTTTTTATTTATTTACTTATTTTTTCTCTGAGCAGTTTCGCTCTTGTCGCCCAGGCTGGAGTGGAATGGCACCATCTCAGCTCACTGCAACCTCCACCTCCCAGGTTCAAGAGATTATCCTGCCTCAGCCTCTCATGTAGCTGGGATTATAGGTGCCCACCACCACGCCCAGCTAATTTTTGTATTTTTAGTAGAGACGGGGTTTCGCCATGTTGACCAGCCTAGTCTCGAACTCCTGACCTCAGATGATCCACCCGCCTTGGCATCCCAAAGTGCTGGGATTACAGGCATGAGCCACTGTGCATGGCCGATACTTTTTTTTTTTTTTTTTACTTGATCTTCACAGCTGTCCTGTGAAGGAGGCAGGCCATGCCAGATTATTCTCCCTTACAGAGATGGAAACAGGCTCCATGAGCTTAAGTGATTTTTCCCAAGCTAAAATAGATAGATAGATAGATAGATAGATAGATAGATAGATAGATAGATAGATAGATAGATAGATAGATAGATAGAAGGTAGATAGAGACAGACAGACAGACACAGATAGACAGAGACTGACAGACAGACAGGCAGAGACAGAGACAAACCAGACAGATCTTTTGTGTGGGAAGCTGAGACGCAAACCCGTGTCTTCAGATTCTTAGTCCAGTTTTCTTCTATAGTATCATGTTGCCTCCCTGAAAGGGGTTGTAGTTTCTCCTTCACCAGGAAACTATAAGGTAGGGGAGAAGAAAGTTCAGGACCCATTCAGATTGGATAGAGAATATTGATGTAACTGCTATGGGCACTCCTCCTAGTTGTTTTTTTTTTTTTTTTTTTTTACATCCATTCATTGTTGAACACTACTCTGAGACCAGCGTTGTGCTAGACACTGGGTACAGGTATAGTGCATATGGATAGAATAACCTGGAGGAAGAAAATGCAGGTTTATAAACAAAGAGGAAAAAGTTAACAAATATATAGCAATAATAACATATTAATCATCATTAACATATATCAAGTATTCATGTATCTAATCCTCACAACAACCCTAATATTAACCTTATTTTATGACTGAGGAGACAGGCTGAGAGAGACCATGCAGTCTGCTCCAGAGCCCATACTATTAACTACATGCCCTCATTCCTCTCCGTGAAGAAGTTATCAGTAAGTACTGAATATAAAAACTGGTATTGTAGAGAAGTAATAATATCAATGGAGCTAGAATTTGCCTAGGCAGTTCTTATGAAGTACTAAACCTTAAGTGGAGCTTTGAAGGATGTGCAGGATTCAGACAGATAAAGGAGAAGGAAGGTGGCGTTTCAGGTAGGAGGAGCATAAACTAAAACACAGAGGTAGAAATGGGAATGAGCATGATGGGGGTACAAAGAGAGCTGTCCTGATTGGAAGGTTTGTCATCAGAGATCAGTGAAAGTTTCCATACCTATAGTAGGTATGGAAAGTCCCTGAAGGCCACACCAAGGCAATTAGAATTTGTTCACCAGGCATCCACAGCAACTTCTCTGAAAGGGACTGACAGTAATAACTAATACTTTTTAAGCTCTTATTTTGTGTTTGGCTCTGTACTAAGTATTTTACATGCCTTACTCTACTTAAGTCCTAGAAGGGAGGATTTTTCAGATGAAGAAACTAAGGCAGAATGTGATTCGGAAACTTGCTCAAGTCCTCACAGCTAGTAAGTACAAAGCCAGGATTTGACCCCATAGCCAGCATTCTGAAAGCAGTGTAGGCCCTGGTCTCTAATAGTCTTTCCAGAAAGGTTAATTGGCAATAACAGAAAGATGGTCCTGGCAGCCATGGCGGTGACCAGGGCAGAGATGTTGGCCTGTGGCAGCCAACCGGAGGAACTGCTGTGATGCGGGTCAGGCAAGAGGAAGGGAGGGGAGTGTTGAGAAAGTGAATGAGTCCAGAAAACTGGTTCTAGACCTTTCTAGAAAGAATTCAGGAGCCATTTAGTGATCAAAGCCTGGTGTGGCCCACAGCTTGGCATGTTCCATTCTGAGCCTTGTTTCATCTTTTGTAAAAAGAGATGTTTTAACCAGATGATGACTATGATACCAACTTCCAGTCTGATTCTACAGTTCTACAAAAATGCAGCCAGGTTTTCAGCATCTGGAGACTGGTGTGTCTTTAATAGAAGGAAACATTTGGATGAGTAGCTGGTTTGAAGTAGAGATGGTGCAGGTAACTTTTTAAAAACTGTGCATAGATAGTATATGATGAAACTTTTAAGAAGAAATGGTTTATAGGCAGTTGAAAATCCCATACTGGAGTTGAGATATGAGGGAAGGACTAAAAGAAGATCAAGTTCCTTCCTCAGGCCAGCCTCCCTTACTACATCAGATGAGGGCAGCTGCCAACTTCCAGGTCAACTGACCTTGGCTGTCACTCTCTAGCTTTGCTCTCCTCCTTATAGTGACCCAGAGAACCTATTCTGCTTGCAAATATAATGACAGGATATTACTTAACATCTTCTTTATACAAGGCATCTACTAGGCATTTTACCTATAATAACTCTCCCATAAAGTTCTTATAACAACCCTCTAAGGTTTTTAATCCTAAATTACCACTTCTCTCCTGCGCCATTTTGGTCCTAGCCCCCATCACCTCCTTCCTGGATTACTGCAGTAGCCTCCTAACTGGTCTCTCTGCTTCTATTCTCCCACTACAGTCTATTTCCAACAGAGTAGCCCGAGTGATCCTTTTAAAAGATAAATCCGATTATGTCATCCCTCTGCCCAAAACTTCACAATAGAGGGTTGCCATTGTATTCAGAGGTCCTACATGGACTGTGACCCTGATTTCCTCTCTGACATCCTTTCCAACTACTTTTCCCCATGCTCGCTACACTCCCTTTCCTAGAACATACTTGGCATGCTTCTTGCCTTTAGGACCACTGTCAGCTGCTTTTGTCTACATCCTCTCCAACAGATGCCCTCATTTATAATTCCTTCACCTGTTCCAAGTCTCTGCTAAAATATTACCTTCTCAGAGAAGACTACCCTGACCATCTTAGAAAAGATGTAACCCAGCTGGGCACCATGGCTCATGCTTATAATCCCAGCACTTTGGGAGGCTGAGTTGGGCAGATCACTTGAGGTCAGGAGTTTGAGACTAGCCTGGCCAACATGGTGAAACCCCATGTCTACTAAAAATTCAAAAATTAGCCAGGTGTGATGGTGTGCACCTGTAATCCCAGCTATTCGGGAGGCTGAGGCAGGATAATCACTTGAACCCAGGAGGTGGAGGTTGCAGTGAGCTGACAGTGTGCCACTGCATGCCTGTCTGGGTGACGGAGTAAGACTCAGTCTCAGAAAAAGAACAAAACGAAACAAACAAACAACAAAAAAAAAACAGGTGTAACCTGACCTTTTCTTTCTTTTACAGATCTCACCGCATTCTGTAATTTTTTTTTTTTTTTTTTTGAGATGGAGTCACGCTCTGTCGCCAGGGCTAGAGTGCAGTGGCACAATCTCAGCTCACTGCAAGCTCTGCCTCCCGGGTTCACGCCATTCTGCTGCCTCAGCCTCCTGAGGTAGCTGGGGCTACAGGTGCCCGCCACCATGCCCAGCTAATTTTTTGTATTTTTTTTTTAGTAGAGACAGGGTTTCACCGTGCGAGCTAGGATGGTCTTGATCTCCTGACCTTGTGATCCGCCTGCTTCAGCCTCCCAAAGTGCTGGGATTACAGGTGTGAGCCACCATGCCCAGCCTACATTCTGTAATTTTATATAATTTTCTAATGTAGTATATTTATTATTTTTGGTCTGTCTCCCTCTGTTAGAATGGGAACTCTGTGAGGGCAGGAATATTTATCTGTTTAGTTTGTTAATGAATCTCATGTACCTAGAACAATGCCTGGTGTACAGTAAGTGCTCAGTAAAAACTATTGAGTGAATGAATCC